CAAGGTGCTTTGGTAAAGTTGGCAAAAATGGTTTTCAAGGCGGTTCAGGTGGTGGACAATTTATCGTCACAGAATGGGTTTAGACCAAATATTGTTTATTTTTGTGAATCCTGGATGTCACAACACCCAAAAATCACAATTTCAAGGTACTTTTGTAAAGTTGGCAAAAATGACATTCAAGGTGGTTCAGGTGGTGGACAATTTATCGTCACAGAATGGGTTTAGACCAAATATTGTTTATTTTTGTGAATCCTGGATGGCACAGCACCCAAAAAACGCAATTTCAAGGTGCTTTGATAAAGTTGGCAAAATGGTTTTCAAGGTGGTTCAGGTGGTAGGCAATTTATCGTCACAGAATGATCGCAGCTCCAAATTTTGCTTATTTTTGTGAATCCTGGATGTCACAACACCCAAAAATCACAATTTCAAGGTGCTTTGGTAAAGTTGGCAAAAATGACGTTCAAGGTGGTTCAAGTGGTGGGCAATTTATCGTCACAGAATGATCGTAGCTCAAAATTTTGTTTATTTTTGTGAATCCTGGATGTCATCGAGTGTCTGGATGACCAAAAAAATATGCAAATTTACAAATATACAAAATTTGCGAGTTTACATGAAAACATAAGGGATCTGCGCTGTTTAAAAGCCATATAACAACCAATTTCTCCGAAAAACCACAGAAAATATGTGAAACAGAGGAAATGGGGTCAAAAGGTGCTCACCAAAGCACGGGGAAGGTGGAGAAATCCGATCGCGCACCATTTCACATTGTTTTCGCACCTCCGCACTCCTCTTGTATGTTCATGATCGAATTGCAAGACAAAGATTGGCGCAATTTCTAAGAAAAACAATTTGCGAAGAATTATGGATGTCACAACACCTGAAAATCACTGTTTCAAGGCTCTTTGATGAAGTTAGCAAAAAGGAGTCTTGGAGTGGTGCAAGTAGTGGACAATTTATCAGCACAGAATGGGTTTAGACTAAAATTTTGTTTATTTTTGTGAATTATGGATGTCACAACACCCGAAAATCACTGTTTCAAGGCTCTTTGACGAAGTTAGAGAAAGGGAGTTTTGGAGTGGTGCAAGTAGTGAACAATTTATCAGCACAGAATGATCCTTGCTCAGAATTTTGTCTATTTTTGTGGATCCTGGATGTCACAATGCCCGAAAATCACTGTTTCAAGGTGCTTTTGTAAAGTTGGCAAAAATGACTTTTAAGGTGGTTCAAGTGGTGGGCAATTTATCGCCACAGAATGGGTTTAGACCAAATTTTTGTTTATTTTTGTGAATCCTGGATGGCACAACACCCGAAAATCACCGTTTCAAGGCTCTTTGATGAAGTTAGTGAAAGGGAGTTTTGGAGTGGTGCAAGTAGTGGACAATTTATCAGCACAGAATGATCGTAGCTCAAAATTTTGTCTATTTTTGTGAATCCTGGATGGCATTTAGTAGATTGAGCCAAAATTTGAGATGTGCAAAGCGAAATGGAAATCGTGAAGTGTCGGAGTTGATGCAAAATTGAGCCGCACAAAAATTGTAAATAAATAATTGTAAATAGATAATTGTAAATAAATCATTGTGAATACGGTTTTGCTAAATTCGGCAAAATTCAAAATCTTTAGGTTACTTTGCCGTGAAATGACGGGGCCTTATCTGGGCGATAAATCTCAATTCCCATCAAACTTTCGCGTTTCTTTCTTTTCCGCCGAAGAGTACCAGTTTTCTTTGTGGCTCTTTTACGCAACGGGCGAGGGGAATTTCCCGCCAAAAACTTTGCGAACAGAAACGCGAAAGCAAAAAGGATTCGATTTGGCTCAAAAGTTCACCAATTTGGCAAGAAATTATGGGAAAAAGTGGGTTTTTGAAAAAAGCTTTAAATGCCAGAGTAAAGGGCACTACATCATTTGGACTAGGAAAAGAAATTCGTTGATCAAAATGGTCAATCTGGAGCCGAATCGGATTCAATTCAATTGGCTGAAACCCTCGAGAAATTCTTTTCAAATTTCCACTCGTCGATCAAGGAAGCAGAATTGAACATCGAATTCGATGTACCCAATGAAGAAGAAGATGATGATGCTGATGAAGAATATGATGGAGATGAAGTAGATCTGATGACCTTTGAACGAGGGATCAAAGATCTCTTGATCCCTTGATCTCATCGAGGATTTCATCGACTCATGGATTGCGAGAAGATTCGAATTGAGTATTATTCCGTAGACTTATGGCGCTTTTACTACAACGACAATCTGGCATTTTTATTGGCTTTTTTATGGGCTATTATCAAAATCTATTCATGTAGCATTTCGTTTTTTTTTGCTAAAATCCAAGAAAACTTTTGTAAAATTTATTTACGCACAAATTATTGAATTGGTGAATTGAAAAATGCCGGCCATTGTCATATGTGGCAGTTTGAGCACTTTCTTCAAAAGAAACCCATTCTGGTGTCAATGGAAAAGTTGTAGAGAATCAAAAATGAAGCTTATATCCAAATTTTTGTGTGTTCTGTGTGTTCTTTGTGTTCTTTGTGCAGCCGCGTTATCGCTCGTCGTCCGGCGCAGGGCTTCTACATAACCCCCTTCCCTCTCCCTTTGCCAAACTACTCTGGCCGGCCCGAATCTTCAAATTGGACATTGACTTCTCCTCAAATTGGCTTCTCCTCAAATCAAGACTAATCTCAATCTATTGCGTTGGTGAATTGAAAAATGCCGGCCATTGTCATATGTGGCAGTTTGAGCACTTTCTTCAAAAGAAACCCATTCTGGTGTCAATGGAAAAGTTGTAGAGAATCAAAAATGAAGCTTATATCCAAATTTTCAGAACGATTCAAAAACTGGTTTTCAAGAAATGCGAAATTTACGACTTTTCACAAAACTTGCATTTTAAGCGAAACTACTAAGTGTATCTTTTTGGAAATTTGGCTATAAGCCTAATTTTTGATTCTCTACAACTTTTCTATTAACACCAAAATGGGTTTCTTTTGAAGAAAGTGCTCAAACTGGGAGATCTCCAGTCCTCCATTTTTGAGTCTCACACTTGTCTCACACACAAACCAAAAATCCTACTACGAAAGAGGAATCCGCAAATTGCCTGTAAAATGGGCAGAAGTCGTCAATAATAATGGAAATTATTTGGAATGAATTTATGGTTTTATGTTTAATAAATTTTAGTTCAAAGTCCCGCAGTTTTCAATTCACCAACCCAATAATAACTTCACGATAGGCTAAAGTGCATTTACTAAGATTTACAGGATTGCTGATGATCATAAAAAGCTGATTGTCAACTCACAACTGTTTTTTTCTACAACCGAAACACTACTAGAATGCATAATTCTCAATACATTTAATCGCATTTTAAGCGAAATTATTTTTGGTGTATCTTTTTGGAAATTTGGCTATAAGCCTAATTTTTGATTCTCTACAACTTTTCTATTAACACCAAAATGGGTTTCTTTTGAAGAAAGTGCTCAAACTGGGACACTGGGACATCTCCAGTCCCCAATTTTTGAGTCTCACCCTTGTCTCACACACAAACCAAAATCCTACTACGAAAGAGGAATAGGCCCTCCAAGTCAAAGATCGTTCTCCTTCCTCCTCATTTTGCAAAACTGACTCACTCTAAAATAAACAGCCTTGGTTGGGAACTTTTGACGCATCCCGCATACAGTCCGGACCTCGCCGCTTCTGATTACTACTTATTCTGAGATCCCTTCTCTAGCGGAGTTCACTCTTCCACTGGGTTGGCCCATTCATGGCTTGAGGTTATTAAAGCAAGAAGCCTATCTTCTATCTATCTTCTTTTCTCCCCGCCTCCACATCGCCGAGTAAAAATATCTCATCTTTCTCTATGTATTTATGTGTAGATTTTGTGTATTGTCTGACTGATTACGCTTTATTTCATGTCCTGAATAAAGTATGAATATATATTATTCCGGATCATGAGTAATGAGCTTGCGGGAGAGCACTTCGATTCGGAAGAAGCAGTCAAGAATTGGCTCCAAAAGTTTTTCGATTCAAAACCAAAATCCTACTACGAAAGAGGAATCCGCAAATTGCCTGTAAAATGTAAAATGGACAATTTACTTCAATACTTTCAGAGCACTGTCAGCCATTATTTGGCCGTCTGGGACTTTCCAAAGTTTGCCAAAGAGTTGGCCAAAGAGTTGGCCAAAGAGTTGGCATTTGTTCCATTTATGAACAAAGCCTCTAAAGCTCTCCGATCCCTCTAACTTTCATCCACAATGATTTCCCATTAATATTGGGGATATTTCGCGAAATTCCCGCTTGTTTTCGTTGTTCTGGAGGGCATTGACCTAGATTTTTCGATTTTCGGATTTTCTCAAGGAAATGATAGCAAATGATCCATCGAAAACAAGACCTTGGCTTTATTTGTGATTAAATTGCTTCTAATCTTCAAAAGCCCAAAATTTTTACCTAATCTGGAGCGCAGGGCAGACACTGACACCGTTGCGATCTCGATCTACAGTAATCCTTTCGGCTACATTTCTACAGTCCCCCTACATTGGTCACTATTTAGAAATGACTAAAATTTCGACTTTTTCTTTATTTTTCGCGCTCATTGGGCTCTGTGCATGCCAGCTAGAGCTGATCAGCAAAATAAACGGTATCGACGCGAATGTGACGCAAGAAATAGGGCACATAAACCCTGGACAGGTTTTGGCGGCACTTTTTGAGGTGAGTTTTTATATGTGTCGTAGCCGATTATGAATGAGTACTTCGGTATTTCTCTCTCTCTTCCTTGACTTACTAGAACAGTGTTCTTGCAAGGACACCAGTTGGCTATGGGAAGAACGCTTCCGGTGAATATGCTAAATCCAATCAGGCTCAATTGGCTCATTATGTACCCTTGAAAAAGCCAAAGTAATCGTTTTCTTTTCTGTTTTCTGTGAAACCAAGAAGGTTGATGGTTGATGTTGCTATTAAAGATGTTAAAAAAATGCTAAAAACGAATCTATACTATCAAAAACTCAAAAACTTCATTTTGATGACACCAGTGAGTGAATTTTCCTTGTAATTCAAGAGTTCTGAAGTATTCATTCAAATTGCAAAGCCAGTAACACTTTGGTGTGCAAAGCCAGTAACACTTCTTCTTGAACTCTCGATTAGTCTGGTTATATATGTCGTAGCCGATTATGAATGAGTGGGTCTAGGAGCGTCGAACCGTCAAGTATTATGAATTGCAGCCGATTATGAATGAGTGGGTTCAGGAGCGTCCAACCATCAAGTATTATGAATTGCAGCCGATTATGAATGAGTGGGTTCAGGAGCGTCCAACCATCAAGTATTATGAATTGCAGCCGATTATGAATGAGTGGGTTCAGGAGCGTCTAACCATCAAGTATTATGAATTGCAGCCGATTATGAATGAGTGGGTTCAGGAGCGTCCAACCATCAAGTATTATGAATTGCAGCCGATTATGAATGAGTGGGTTCAGGAGCGTCCAACCATCAAGTATTATGAATTGCAGTCGATTATGAATGAGTGGGTTCAGGAGCGTCCAACCATCAAGTATTATGAATTTCAGCTTATTATGAATGAGTGGGTCCGGAGGCGTTCAACCATCAAGTATTTGGTATCATTCAACGCAGAACCATTAATAATTATGTTAAATTTTTAAAATTAGAAAGATTTGATAAAAAGAAAAAAAATTATGGGGCCTCAAAGTTTTCTCTTGAACAAACAGTTTTTTGGCTCTAATTTTTTTCTTTTTATCCAATCTTTCCAATTTTAAAAATTTAGCATAATTATTAATGATTCTGCGTCGAATGATACCAAATACTTGATGGTTGGACGCTCCTAGATGGTTACTTGATGGTTGGACGCTCCCACTCATTCATAATCGGCTGAAATTCATAATCGGCTACGAGGGTCCCGCCGATTTTGAATGAAACGTTGTAGCGCCGGCAATTACGGCGTGAAGGCACTGAGTTATTCAACGAGGAAGTGATGGACAACTAAAGGAAATAGATGAAAAGCCGAAAATAGACGCATTTTGAAAGAAATAAATCAATAAATCAATCTAAAAATCAATAAAGTCTTTGGTTAACAAATAGTACTTGAGGATTCGATCGCAAAAAAGCACTCAATTTGCAATTGCTGCCCAGAGACGAATTGCTGCCCAGAGACAGGCAAGTCGGCAAGTCTTGCAAGTCTAAGAGATTATTGATCAATCTTCCAAATTGAGGATCCAATAACAAAATGTTCGAAAAGTCCCTCGAGACAGTTTTCTCGAGTTCCAATCGTTTTCCCATAGTGATAGGCGGCCCCGCAGCCGCTCAATTTGCATGCGAATTGCTGCCCAGAGACATTGAGGTTGAGAATTGAAGGGAAAAGAGGAGAAAAGTGCAGATTCACCACCTACCATCACAACAATTCTTTCCCATTGAACGGTGAGGAATCAAAGGGTAAATTGGAGAGGAATCAAAGGGCATTGGAACCGTGTTGTATCACAAAAAGAACCGTATTGGAACCGTATTGGAAAGGTATTGGAACCGTATTGGAACCGGATTGGATCACAAAAAGAACCGTATTGGAACCGTATTGGAACCGCATTGGAACCGTGTTGTATCACAAAAAGAACCTTATTGGAACCGTATTGGAACCGTATTGGATCACAAAAAGAACCGTATTGGAACCGTATTGGAAAGGTATTGGAACCGTATTGGAACCGTGTTGTATCACAAAAAGAACCGTATTGGAACCGTATTGGAAAGGTATTGGAACCGTATTGGAACCGTGTTGTATCACAAAAAGAACCGTATTGGAACCGTATTGGAAAGGTATTGGAACCGTATTGGAACCGTGTTGTATCACAAAAAGAACCGTATTGGAACCGCATTGGAACCGTGTTGTATCACAAAAAAAACCTTATTGGAACCGTATTGGAACCGTATTGGATCACAAAAAGAACCGTATTGGAACCGTATTTGAATCGCATTGGAACCGTATTGGATCACAAAAAGAACCGTATTGGAACCGTGTTGGAACCGCATTGGAACCGTGTTGTATCACAAAAAGAACCTTATTGGAACCGCATTGGAACCGTATTGGATCACAAAAAGAACCGTATTGGAACCGTATTGGATTAAATTCCGCCACAGGGGTCCCGCCGATTTTGAATGAAACGTTGTAGCGCCGGTGATTTTTAACCTAAACTCACAAATTTGGTACGAATCGACCCAGAATTTAATTCGCTACAAGATGATATAATATTGTCCATTAAAGGGTTGCTCTACTAGAAAGGTTTGCCAAAAAAATTTCATTCATAATCGGCTACGATATATGGAAACAAAAATACACTTATTTACAATAATTACAAATGTTCAGGGTTTATTTAAATCGTTTTCGAAACTGGCAAAAGAGGCGGAAAACGAGGAAAACGATGTAGTAAACGGAAGTTGGTTTTTAACAAAAAATTTTTCAGAATTTAATGAAATCTAAACTCTAAACTAAAGCTAGAACTCATTTCAGCTAAGGAAATCAATGAAAACAATTTCCAATGCAAAGTGGGAGTCGGCGGTGAGGCCTGTGACCGGTGCTTGGCCGGGTATTTTGGCTTTGGAGACGCCGGGTGCAAGTGGGTTTTATCTAGTTGAAAATCTGTTTCACGTGAATCTTTTGATGTTCTGGAACGCACAGCAGATAATTAATTAGCAGAAAAGACGAAAATCGAAATTTAGAAGAAGTTGGTTTTTGAGGATTTCCCTTCGTTCCTACCTGCGTCTCATAGATAACTTAAAATTTGTTTTTAAAAGCAAAACTGCCACTTCTGGAACGCACATAGGAGATCTAGATAGTTAGTTTGAATTAAAATGATAAACATCTATTTTCAGGCCGTGCTCCTGCGAGCTGACGGGTACAGTAGATGGAAAATTAGCATGCGAGCCGGAGACCGGGAAATGCCAGTGCAAGGCCCATGTGGAGGGGGATCGATGTGAGAAGTGCAAAGAGGGATTCATCGGATTGTCGTGGTGAGATTTGGTCAGTAGTGGAAGGTTACAGTACCCCACCGTAGTTATTGGCGGAATTATTGGCGCCTTTATTTCTTTCGAAACCCAATCCTGAAACACACAGCGAGTTCTGGGCTCGGAAAAATGACCGAAAAATGGCCAAAGAATTTTCGAAGAAATTAAAAATGTAGTTTTTGCCTTGGTTTTGTGCTAGGAAAGAAAGCAGTTGATCCGTAAGGACATCTTGGTTTTGTGCTAGGAAAGGAAGCAGTTGACCCGGGACATCCTGGTTTTGTGCTAGGAAAGGAAGCAGTTGATTCGTAAGGACATCCTGATAATCGTTCGAGTTCATGCAACAACTCACAAATCCTTAAACAAGAGCCTCATCTACATTGAAGGTGTCCCATACCATCAGTGATCCATCTCCGAAGTTTTGACGCTCACAAAGCATTGGAACCTTTCTCAAATCATGCTAATAGTACTTGTTGCCGTCTGGACCATCCAAATTAAATTCTGAACCGTTTGGAACCATCCAAATTAAATTCTGAACCGTCTGAAACCATCCAAATTAAATTCTGGACCATCTGGAACCATCCAAATCAAATTCTGGACCGTCTGGAACCATTCAAATTAAATTCTGGACCGTCTGGAACCATTCAAATTAAATTCTGGACCGTCTGGAACCATCCAAATTAAATTCTGGACCATCTGGAACCATCCAAATCAAATTCTGGACCGTCTGGACCATCCAAATTAAATTCTGAACCGTCTGAAACCATCCAAATTAAATTCTGGACCATCTGGAACCATCCAAATCAAATTCTGGACCGTCTGGAACCATTCAAATTAAATTCTGGACCGTCTGGAACCATTCAAATTAAATTCTGGACCGTCTGGAACCATCCAAATTAAATTCTGGACCATCTGGAACCATCCAAATCAAATTCTGGACCGTCTGGACCATCCAAATTAAATTCTGAACCGTCTGGAACCATTCAAATTAAATTCTGAACCGTCTGGAACCATCCAAATTCGAAACCCAATCCTGGAACACACAGTGGGTTCTGGGCTTTGAAAAAAGGCCTTTTTTTGAGCTAAGGCGCCTTTAAGTTCTTTTTTAAATGTCCTTTAAGTTGAGTTCTCCGTTAAATGTCATTTTGTAGAGAATTTTCTAGAGAATTAATCTTTGTAGAGAATTTTGTGGAGAATTTTGTAGAGTTAACCTTTCCACTGATATCAAACGCCTATTTGAGGAATTCTGCTAAAAGTTCACGAAATATCTTTGATTTTTGGCGCCATAATTACATCTAAGGATACAGTAATTATTCTAATAATGTGCGTTGGAAAATGATAGGATCACCCCAACTTGGTGCGAGCGCTTCATTTTCTTTGTAGAACTAAGAATTTTCGAAGAAATTAAAAATGTAGTTTTTCTCTTGGTTTTGTGCTAGGAAAGGAAGCAGTTGATCCGTAATTGATCAGTTGATCCGTAGTTGATCAGTTGATCCGTAATTGATCAGTTGATCCGTAATTGATCAGTTCACCCTGGTAATCGTTTTAGTTCATGCGACAAGTCACAAATCCTAAAACAAGAGCCTCATCTACATTGAAGGTGTCCCATACCATCAGTGATCCATCTCCGAAGTTTCGACGCTCACAAAGCATTGGAACCTTTCTCAAATCATGCCAATAATACTTGTTGCCGTCTTGGACCATCCAAATTAAATTCTGGACCGTCTGGAACCATCCAAATCAAATTCTGGACCGTCTGGAACCATTCAAATTAAATTCTGGACCGTCTGGAACCATCCAAATTTTGAAGTTAAACAGTAATGCTGCTAAAGTTAAACAGTAATGCAAACTTTTGCTCGACCATGATCTAAATAAAAAATATAAGCATTTTTAAATAAAATAAACAACAACCAAAAAATTCAAATGTCGAAATAAATAGCAAACAAATATGCGAACAAAACATAAAACAGATGAGATGATGTAGTTGCCGTTTAAAGCTTAAAAAGATACAAAATAGTGGCAAAATAGAGCCCTTCACAAATTACGGTACCCTTTCCAGCGAGAACCCACTCGGTTGCTCCCCTTGTCTCTGCAACAATCAACCATGCCAGTCAGTTGAGGGATACTACGTGACAGAGATCACCTCAAAGTTTGACCAAGGTAAGAAAATCAAATCAAATCAAGCCAATTTAAAGTGTGCACTCCAGAATGATCAAAAAATAAAGCGATTTAGGGAAAGACTCGTGGAAAGCGAGTTTCGTCGACGAGTCGACAGCTGAAGATCTACCGCTGAGATGGGTGAAAGAGGAAGAAGCGATTGCTGTCCATTCGGTGCCAAACGGGGACCCGATCTATTTTTTGTGAGTTCCAGGACGCCCAAAAATATTAGCTAGAAAATTTGTGGTGCACTAGGTGGTGAGCGTTTGCGCCGAACTCAAACAAGACTCAAGTGCAAAGTCTCAAATTGAAAATTTCAGCTTTAAAACTTATTCGAAGATTTTGTGCGTTCCAGGACGCCCAAAAAAGCTATAAAAACCTATTTACTATTTCAGGGTCCCGGAAAAGTTCACCGGTAACCAATTGCCCTCCTACAATCAGTGGTTGTCATTCGAGTTCCGGATCGCGAAAGATGGCGGGAAAACGGGACCAAAGTGAGCTATCAAAAAGGAAGAGCGATCAAGAATGTAATCCGGAATTTCAGTGACATTTTGATTCTTGGAGCTGACGGTAAGAATATCAGCTTCCCACTGACAGCTCAACAGAACCCGAAGCCGACAAAGGAATTTCAACAATATCGATATCATCTGCATTACGCGAAAGTCGATGAGGTGAGGAATGGAGCCCAGGGCCCGATTGGAAACCCTGACATAGCCTGCTTGACCCTGGAATAGCCTGATTGAGCCTGGAATAGCCTGCTTGAGCCTGGAATAGCCTGCTTACCCCTCGAATAGCCTGCTTGATCCTGGCATAGCCTAGTCAGCGCAAGCCAAAACGCCCTGGCCTGGCCTAGCCAAAGCGCCCTGGCCTGGCCTAGCCTAGAGACTCCAGAAAAAGGTTCGCTTGAAAAAAGTCATCTGTTATCTGGCAGTCAGTCTATAATAGACTTGTAACGAAAACGTCTGTCGATTCTTTTTTGCCGTTGGCATTCTAAGGTTTTTTGCCTCTTTCTCAGCACAAACCTTTCTATTTTGTTTGATTTGAGTATCATTCGATGCAGAACAAAATTACGCATCGAATGATACCAAAATCAGCCTAGAATATAAAATCCTTGCAAAGTTATTGGCTAAAAACGGAGGTTAAACATTTTTCTTCATAACTTTGTATGGATATTATATTTTAAGCTGATTTTGGTATCATTCGACGTGTAATTTTATTCTGCACCGAATGATAGTCAAAGCAAGCAAAATAAAAGGGTTTATGCTGAGAAAGAGGCGAAAAACCTTAAAATGCCAACGGCAAAAAAGGACGGACAGATGCTTTCGTTAATGTAGACTGATTGTCAGACGGATCGCTTTTTTCAAGCGAGCCTCTTTTTCTGGAGGCTGTAGGCTAGGTCAAACCACTTTATCTTGACCCTAGGCTGCCTAGGCTATGCCAGGGACTAGCCCAGGAGTCTGAGCTGAGCCTGAGCTGGTCCGGGGTCTTTCAAACGAATCGGGCTCTAAACGGCCAATGACTAATAGCTTTCTTTGAGCCCAGCACGTCCGGCTCCTAGACATTTTCCATTTTTGGACATTTTCCAGAAATTTTGAAGGATTTACGGGTATTTCAGTTGAGCCAAGGACCTGTAAGACTGCCAGGCAACGCTAGAGTCGGCCTAGCTCTAAAGCCAGACTGCCAGGCAACGCTAGAGTCGGCCTAGCTCTAAGAGCTGGCTTCTGATAGATTCTAAGAGCTCAGGTAAAACAGGCTAGGCGGGATCTGGCTTTGAGCCTGGTCTGAGTGGCTTTATTTATGGAATAACTCTGTTTTATTGTTTCTTTATTGTTCCAGGCTTTTCTCCCATTGCAAACGATCGCCTCTGGCTTGCTTTCGGCGTTGAAACCGATAATGTCGATCACAGGGAAAATGAAAGAAATCCCGAAAATACCCATGGAAACGACGCATTTCGGAAAAGAGTACGAATTCTTGAGAATTCTGCAAAATGTTGCTTCTTTGAAGATTCGGGGAACCTATTCGAGTGGAGATATTGGATATTTGAGGGTTCGACAGTTTTCTAGAATCTCGAAAGGGCACCGTAATCAATTTTAGAGCTTTTCTCTCGGCTCAGCTTCTCAGGATCTCCCAACTTTGTCGAATCCCCAAAAAGCCGATTGGATCGGGCAGTGTGCGTGCCAGGAGAAGTGAGTTTTCAAGAAAACTAGCTTAATTTCGAATTTGTTAGCTTAATTTCTAATTTGTTAGCTTAATTGCTAATACTTTAGCACAGCCGGAGAGTTTTGCGACACTTGTGCCTCGGGATATCGAAAAGTTGCGCAAAAGCATTTCTTTGAGTGCACCGAATGCGAATGCAATGGGCACACGGAAAAGTGTGATCCGGAAAATGGTGAGAGGATGGGAGGGAGGGCAGGGTTATGGGAGAAAACGGGATTACGATAGAAGACGGGATTACGATAGGAAACGAGATTACGATAGGAAACGGGATTACGATAGAAAACGGGATTTCTATAGGACTTTACAGGGGATTACGGTTGATAATTTGTACGGAATTACGGTCGAAAGACTGTAATTCCGTACAAAGACCAAGAGTTACTGCAGAAAGGGCAAGGAATGGTAGAATTCTGGTAGAAATCGTTGAGATTACGGTAGGAATGACAGGGAATGACAGGAATGACAAAAATTAAAGAAAGGACAAGGTTACGGGCAAGGGATTACGGGGTAAAATTGGCGAAAGATTACAGTAGAAAAGATTAGTGGGACTTGACAGGGGATTACAGTAGAAAGGGCAAGGTTACAGTGGCTAAGGATTACGGTAGGCAGGGATTACGATTGGCTGGGATTACGGTAGGCAGGGGGTTACGGTAGGCAGGGATTACGGTAGGCAGGGATTACGATAGGCTGGGATTACGGTAGGCAGGGGTTACGATAAGCAGGGATTACGGTAAGCAGGGATTACGATAAGCAGGGATTACGGTAGGCAGGGATTACGGTAGGCAGGGATTACGATAGGCTGGGATTACGGTAGGCAGGGATTACGATAAGCAGGGATTACGGTAGGCGGGGAGTACGGTAAGCAGGGATTATGATAAGCAGGGATTACGGTAGGCAGGGATTACGGTAGGCAGGGATTACGATAGGCAGGGATTACGGTAGGCAGGGAGTACGGTAAGCAGGGATTACGGTAAGCAGGGATTACGGTAGCTGGAGTAGGATCGTATCACTTTATAGCACTCATACCCAGAGTTGTTCCAACGCCGACTTTCTTCGGCTAGGTCTGCCTGCCCCTGCCTACCGTAATCCTTGCGTACCGTAATTCCTGCCTACCGTAATCCCTGACTACCGTAAGCTGGCTTGCCTGTAGACCTAGTTCAATCCCTGAGCCTGACTGGAAAACCCCAATCAACCTACGGTGACGCTTCCAGGTCATTGCTGGGATTGCAACGATGGCTCGATTGGTGATCACTGTGATCGATGTGATCGGGGGTACTTTGGGAATCCGCTAATGGTCAATGGGACAATGATGGGTTGTCAGGTGAGTTTTGATTACGTTAATTGAAGCGCATCAAACTATCTGTAATACTGTAGATTGCATCATTATCATTTTGCCCTTGTCTAAAGCCAGCAATTACTGTAGTTGGAGCTGGAGCTGGGCAAGCCCGGCCGCTTCCCACTTTTGGGTCATCCGGCTCCCTCCCAATAGTGGGAAGACGGCCAACTTTCCCAAAAGTTGAAGAGGATGGGTGTGGCGAATTGCCACTGCTCTGCAGTTAGTCAAAAATTCAATACAAGTTAAAGTTCAAAGTTGGTGGATAAACTACCGTAATCAGTCACTAAATGATATTCAGCTGTCCGGTTGTTGTAGCTTGTATGCTTAAAAAACCCATTATTTAAGCTTTGCTTTTGAGTGAGTTTGGGGTTCTCCTTTTTTGTGCTTTATCATTTCTTTTTCACATTCAAGTGTTGATTTAATTGTGATAGTGCCAAGTTGCTCTAGTTTGAGCGAAGTTGCCCTAATAAGGGAAAGTTGGATAAATTATTACGTTTTCAAGAAGACCGCGATTGAACCACACCGAGACACGGTCTCACAAGAAATTATATAGATCAAAACATCAACATACATTTCTTACACGTAGGCCGGGAAACGAACCCGGGTCGCCCGCGTGGCAGGCGAGCATTCTACCACTGAACCACCCGCGCGCATTCTACTTTAAAATTTAAAAATCAAATTTAAATCGAACACTTAGAGCTATAATGCGGCAATCCCTGAAAGCAGCCCATAATCTTTGTGAAAATGTAAAGAAATGTTTCTATTAGGTTGTCCAATAAGTAATGCGTGTTTTGACACGATTTTCAAAATATCACAAAATTAACAAAAGGGAACTTTATTAATCGATATATTCTCCACAACAATCAACAACATTTCTCCATCGTCCGAGCAAAGAGTGAAGTCCGTCATAATAGAATGAAGCTGGTTTCGATGAGAAGAAATCGTCGAGCCATTTTTGCACCTCGTCAACACTTTTGAACTTGCGTTTTCCAAGAGCGTGCGCCATCGAACGGAACAAATGGAAATCAGATGGAGCCAGGTCTGGACTATACGGCGGATGTGGGACAGTCGACCATCCAAGCTTCTCAATCTTCTGCTGTGCGATTTTTGCAATATGCGGACGAGCATTGTCAAACTGCAGTTTAATCATCGAAGTGTCCTCTCCTTTACGACAAAGAGCTTGCTGCACTCTCTCTAATTGTTGAGAGTACAAGTCAGCAGTGACCATTTGACCGGGGTTTAGAACTTCAAAATGTAAGATTCCTTTAGAATTCCACCATACGCACAATAGGGCCTTCTTTCCATGCAATTCTGGCTTTGGCGTTGGTTTCGGATCTTCTCCCGGCGACAACCACTGGTGCTTCCTCGTTGCATTGTCAAAAGAAATCCACTTCTCGTGCGCAGTAACGATGGAATCAATAAAACCAGAGTTTTTTGTTTGACCAATGAGAAACCCACAAATTGATACACGAGCAGCTTTATTCGCTTCACTCAATTTGTGGGGAAGCCACTTTCCGCATCGATTAAATTTTCCAATCTCATGGAGATGATTGTCGATTGTTGATTTGGAACAACCAAATAATTCGGCCAACTCACGAGTAGTTTGAGTTGGATCAGACTCAATGGTGTTAAGCAAAGCTTCGTTATCAAAAACGACTGACCTTCCAGCGCGTTCCTCGTCCTCTAACGACTCGTTTCCGTCCGCAAAATTGAATCCTCTCCAAATGCGGCACAGATAGTTCGATGGCAATCCGCTGCAGTTTTACCTCGTTTGAAATCATACAGCATTGATGCGCGGACAACAAACTTTTTGTCTTTCATCTGCAAAACAACATATCTATTATAAAACAAAGGCAAATGAATAAAATAATATATAAAAATAAACACAAGATGCTGATGATTAAAAAAGAGCATATATTTGCTCGAAGCGATTCCGCAATAGTTTCGAAATAAGTAACCCGCATTACTTATTGGACAACCTAATATTATTTTAAAGTGAAAAAAGATTGTAAAAATATTGAATTAGAAGAAAGTGATAAGAGTTTTAATGTAAAAAAAAAATACGGAAAAAGAATTTTTGGGAAGGGGAGGCCTTTAGCAATAAAAGAAGTCGTTTATTTTAAAGATTTAAAGACTAATAAAACATTTAAAGAGTTTAAAAAGTAATAAGACAATGAATTTTAAAGATTCAATTTTAAAGATTGATATAAACGACAGATTGATATAAACGAAATGCCATAAACGATAATTTAGAAATGCCCGTGCTCGGATGGAGTGAGTTGTGTCCAGGATTTGAACGAGAAGCCGATTTGCCTCACCGAGTGAAACCCTTACCGGTCAATCAGTCCCGGTCAAGTCAACGAGTCCCGAAATTAATTTTTCTTGATCTGCAGGTTTTTGCCTTCTTTCATTTTGCCTTGTTTCAAGGGTTTTGCCTTGTTTCATTTTTGATGCGCATGCTGTTTTTGTAATGGTTATTGTTGCATTTCGGTTCTGTACTAATAAACAGTAACATTATAAATTCACTTTGCTTTATGCTACCCTTCAGGTTTTAAATCCTGTTTAGATGACTGGTTTAACATTGTAGAGAGACTGGTTTTACTAACATTTGTGTCACCATCGACGTAGTATCAATCCGATCCGTACTCTTCTCAAGAGTATTAATCTGGAGCTAGCGTTTGAGTGCTTTGACGGCAATTTAGCGAAGCTATACTGGCTCAGCTACAGTATCGAATAGTTTCTACCCGAAATAAGCCTTTCTGACTGCTTTAAAAGATTTTTCTATTCAATCTGGAACGCACACCAGCTCTTGGGCCAGCGTTTGAACGTTTAGACAGCAATTTAGCGAAGCTATACTGGCTCAGCTACAGTATCGAATCGTTTCTATCCGAAATAAGCCTTTCTGACTGCTTTAAAAGATTTTTCTATTTGATCTGGAACGCACTCCGGCTCTTGCACATCCCAAACTCTACAATCTGAATGTTTAAATGTTTATTGACAATCTAACAGCATTGACAAATTATGATATTGTGAAGGTAGTAAAAGAATTAAAAATTAAAGATTTTAGGGGTATGTATGAGGGATTGCCATTGCATTGCCATTGCCATTGCCATTGCCATTGCCATTGCCATTGCATTGCCATTGCCATTGCCAAGTAAGATTAGTGATTATGAATGTGGGATCTACTCATCAATAACATGTACAAGTATACCCATTCCGACACCAACTGCTTCTATCTCCGAAACCACCCAATTTACAGTATCCTCCACGGTATCGATTGCCGCGGAGTCGCTGAAACCATCCTTGGCAATATTCACTGCGGTTGTCTATTCCATGGATGGAGCGCCACGTAGCTCTGATCGGTGCAGTGTCAATATCCCATTACTTGCGACCGGCCTGAGTTATACCAAGGATCATTGTCGATATACCAAGGATCATTGTCGAGGATTTGGCCGTTTGTCATCATTGAGAGCATGACCAAAAAACAGAAGGAGATTGAGCGTGCGAACATTTTCCAAATTTATTCTGAATATCAAACAAAGTTAAACTTTATTTTAAGGACTTTTTAAGGTTATATAAAATCAACTAACCTTTTTTGTAATAAAGGTCCGATTGTCTACTTTCTACAAAACAAAACACTTACCGTAAATACTGTAATTAGACCCCATGGGGTACTATTTTTTCCCTCCCCCTCTAGGGTGGGGTACTATTAGAGGGTGGGGCACTATTAGAGGGTGGGTTACTATTTTACACCACTATTCAAATTACCAAATCAGGACACATTCAAATAAAAAAGCAAACTTTTTCTTTAGTTTTTATTGGTTTTAACCATTTGAAAATTTAACAGTAAAACGAAACAAAAATAACTAACAAGCGAAATCAATAGAAACATCCAAATCAATGAATTCATCATTTGCATGATCATCAATTCCTCGATGTCCTTGAAATCCCGTCGATGCGATCGGCCCCAAGAGGTCCTCGATTTCCGTGTCTGTCCGATTTCCATCTCTGATCTCTAACACAAACTTCATTGGCTCCAACCGCTTCGATGCACTTGCTCGTCGAAGCATCCAGCCAAACCGCCGTCTCATCGCAAGCAACAATGTGCTTGTAATCGCCTTCTTTGATTGTCTTGTTCAGCCTCAGAATGTGCTCGACGATGGCCTTCTCAAATTCGCTCGGCAGCTTTTGACAAGTTGTTGTTGGTGCCCTCAAAGAAAGTTGGTGGCGACCTCAAGAACGACCTCAAGACCTCAAGAAGGACTCCATCCAGCCATGGGTTCTTTTGAAAGAAATTTCAGCTTTTTCGAATCGATTAGCCGCTTCATTCCAGATAATCCCGCGTGTCACTCGTTTCTTCTCGGCTCGACGATCCCGTATCCATTCAGCCAAACCGATATCAATCCCCTCCGAGTTCAAGTGACGTCCGGCTCCATTGAGTCTCTTGCGTTCTCCGTGGACTTTCTCTAGCTCGATTTCTTGTTTGATGTAGGAACACACACATTTTCGATTAATCTTATAGAATGCAGCAGCTGCTTTGATCGAAACATCGTTGCCCATCTT